CATACTCCACGCATAAACATACACACACACACACACGCACATATATATATATATATTTGTAGTATAGATATACATATTATATATATATATATATATATATATATATATATATATATATATATATCTACATATATATATATATATATGTATATACACACACACACACACACACACACACACACACACACACACACATACACACACACACACACACACACACACACACACACACACATATATATATATGTATATATATATATATATATAAATATATATTGATACATTGCTACATATATATACTACTATGAATATAAACTACCTATTCTCTTTTTTTATATCATCTTATACACATAAATTGTACGAGTTCATTAGTAGATACAGCTTGTACACAACTGAGAAATCCTTAACAAACCGATAGCTGTATGGCGAGGTGTAAATTAATATTTATTTGTGAGTTGGTTGCAGTCTTAAGTGCTTAGAAATACGACTAATGTCTTGCTGTAAAACCTATGTCAGATCAACCATAGATTGTGTTCTTTGAAACGTGCCACTTTCACCTGGGCCCCTATGATATAATTGTTGTGTACAACCACCACTTCTTGCTTCTGTGTGATGTTGAATTTCTGGGAATACTGATTCCATCTGGAAACAGCATCTCCGGCAGATAGCCAAACGACACTTCATCGTGTTGCTTAACTATCGCATTGAACAGATCTTGGTTCAGTCGCTTCCCTTTGATTCTTTCTTTCCACTCCCTGAACAGCGCAACGGTCCCGTTGGAGGTAGTACCGCCAACCGCAAAAAAAAATCCAGCACAAATTTTGGGCCGTCTTTCAGCACAACTATATCATGTCCCTCACCTTGTAAGTCTGATATGAACGGCCAGGGATTCTTGTTCCATACCATGTCTACATCCGAAAACCATAGCGGGATCTGCCTGGAGACGAAATCATACACTAGCTGCGGCCGTGCGTGTGCAATTAGTGCATAGTCGTAGGAACCGTAAGACGCATCTGGAGCAGCGCTGAAAGGAAGGAGATAGAGGGCCAGCATGTCGTTGTGCTCTATAAGCGGGCGGAGTAGTTTTACTACAGACGAGTCATGGCACACAAACAAGATTTTGTTCTGTACATTGGCTTTCTTGACGGAGGTATACGAATTAAGAGTCATATCAAAAACCAAGCTACTTGTGGTGGCCATTAGTAATGATGGGCAAACTATTGCGCTGAATGCTCGAGAAAATTTCCTGCGTTATCGGATTAGATGAGTTGGAGGGGTCGAAAGATTATTCGAAAGGGCTATTCATGATATCGCTAGTATAATCTAGGTAGATGGACAGTTGTTCCAATACATGATTACGGAACGAGAGAGTGATGAGCATGAGTACAATGCCTACCATCCAGGAAGGTTTCAGCCATAATCTCATGGCGGGAAGTGTGACCAAGCACTCAGTTTCAGCTTCCCTGAAGTACTTTAGTTTGTCACGTTGACAATATGTGGACAGCACTGTCACTATAAAGCGACGTCTACGCAACGAGTAGACCTCCAGTACCGTGGGAGGAGTCTAAAGTGGCGAACACAGCACCCTACATTCCCGTCATTACCGTTAGTATACGGACTAACAGTCCTTAGGAACATCAGATATGTCTTCGACTTATAAGATTTTGTAAAGTGCAGACGTCAACGGTTCAGCAATAGTCCGTTGTCTACGGCTAAATGGGCCAACTTCTCAAGTAGTAGTAATTTATTAAAAACGGGTCGTCTATTTCAATTCCAGCCTTCACACACACGTATTTCTAAATAAAAAATAAGTGATAGTCTCACAGGTATTCACGTACTACGGTCTACTATGTACGTCACCAGTTACCAGTTACCGGCTACCAGTTACTGGCTACCAGTTACCACCAGGACTAATATAGGAATGCCTAAGTATGTATTATTTACTAATCAAATCGGAGAATAAAACTATATACGTACGTACGTCATAAATATTTACATCACATAAAATGTCATAATTAGTAATATTGTACCCCTGCCTTGTTTTAATTTTGGTAATATTTACGTCGGCTTACTTCACCATTATTACCATTTAGCTTGGTTATTTCAGCTATAGTATCGCCCTATTCGGTCAAGTAGCACAACATCTTGATCACGAAAATGTTCGCACGGTTAATCGTAAGTAAAGCAGGTACACGACAAGTACGGAATTTGTCCATGGCTGTCGGAGTTCCGAATTTCATGCTGGCCGTCGACAAGGTACGTCCCCTCCGTTGAACTGGACTGTACTGCATCACGCTTCATCCTTATGCACAGCCCAAATGTCGATTAAATCATAGTGTGATGGTACGCTGCGCGCTATGACTAGTTTCTGCTCAATAGCTACGAGGGATCCTATTTGGGAATCAGTCACTGGGGTAGGTGTACTTGCAGAGCTGTGACCCTAGTTCGTGCATCTTGTTGTGCACAACTGCACCCACCGAACAACTTGCAAAGAGATGAGGTCATATATTTACGAACAATCAACTAATCTAGATAGCTGCATTAATTCCGCCTTCGAATAAGACTATACACCATATGCACACACTGATCAATATGTTTAGTGTCGAGGTCATATACGCGTAGACATACGAGTGATGACTTGAGATATCTATTTTTATGTCGTCGAGCAAGACAGACCACTAGACAGTGCTGTAGCAAAATATATGCACTGCATGCCAGAATCACCACGATAAACCTACACCAGGAAAATGGTTTGTCCGATTGAGCATGGCTTGAGTCTTGTTTAAGCGCAATAGTGTGCGAGAGCTCCGGTGCTGCAATACGGAGCTATTTGGGGTGAAAAAGTCTTATCTTACACACCTGAGCGCTGACTACATCCGTACGTTCCTCAATACTCGCCGTAGATTTGGCTCAATTTAATATAGGCGTGCCCTTCAGAATCAGATTACGATAACTGAGTACTTCATGGACCTCCTGCCTCACGTTGTGCTCGGGTTTATCAACTCAAGCGAAAGGCATTGTGAAGTCACTGCAGTGCAAGTACTCACACGCGTCTCTGTGTCAATCTACTATTTTTTTAAATCATCATTCCTCCTCTCATCGGGTTGTTGACGATGACTAGGGTTATCGTTCACGCGACATCGCAGATGTTGGCAGCATACCCATCGACGCACTTGAAGGTGTGGGCAAGGTACGCAGAAGAGATTGTATGCTTAATGTTACTGAGGCTACCATGGTCTCATGATATTTTTTGGTAAACTGAGATCTGAAGTGCGCGATGTTACACTGTACATACACATACACAGATAATTTACTTTTGTGGACCACTCGACCTTGTTCAGTCCAGGAGCATATGCTGTACACGATTTGAATGTGAATTGTGTACACTAGTGGCATATACTATATAAGTATTGTTCACATCTTCGTGGGATACTCAAAGGCTTGGATAAGCTTCAATTGATGTGATGTGGGGTTGGAAAAGAAGAGTGAGTTGTTTATATTCATGTGTATTGGTGATTCGTTCATTTTTGCAAACCTATTGTATGCGTAGTATACGTGTGGATACGCAAATCGGTACTCTATAGACAATAATGCATAGCGCGTGCCCATTATTACAACCTCAAACTAGAGGACAGTGTCTGTCAGATGCCGCATCAAGACAGGAACACAGGAACAAGCTTAAAATCTCATCTCGACTCCGTGTCACCATAGAATCGATTTTGGCTACGAACATGTAGCCTGTAGTGCATATGTAGATATTGTTTGTGGCTTAGCGGCGGTACGATCACACACATTCGATGTCTCTGCGCGCAGTGTGTGTATGGGGTGGACTTGCCCAGTCTTTCAAACGCCACAGTGTTTCGATTTGAGAGCGATATGCACCCACTCTGACTGAGTTGTAATATTGCCAATTGAAATATGTAGGACGCCGCGAAGTCATGGAAGAAGATGGGAGTAAAGACAGTTCGGGACTTATCAGATGGGCTGAGGCCATCAGCCATTTATCTCACTTCCACACCAACAAGGAGAACCAGGGCGAATTCGGTGTGTATTGGTTAAAGTACGTGTGTTGGTACCAATGTTAAATTGAAAGTGGATGATAACAAGCAGAACCAGAGCGCATCAGGTGTGTATTGGTTAAAGTATGTGTGTTGGTACCAACGATAGAATGAAAGTGGACAATATTAAGCAGGACCAGGGCGAATTCGGTGTATATTAGTTAAGGTACGTGTGTTGGTACCAATGTTAGATTGAAAGTGGATAATAACAAGCCGAACCAGGGCGAATTCGGTATGTATTGTTTAAAGTACATGTGTCGGTACCAATGTTAGTTTGAGAGTGGGTAATATTAAGCAGAACCAGGGCGAATTCGGTGTGTATACGTTAAAGTACGTGTGCCGGTACCAATGTTAGTTTGAAAATGGATAATAACATGCAGAACCAGAGCGAATCATAATCATATTTACATCGAGCTTTATAGCCCGCTTTTCAAATGACACTCGCGTCATGTAAGTTCACTAAACAAAGGCATCAGATGTTATTCATGCGTTGTTGCTGAGATCACTGTATAAATATCAATCCGCACGCCCATCGCTCACGCCTCGTACGCCATACATTGTTAACCATATACCTCTTTGTGCTGCTTGGCACCACCAGGTGTTGACATTCTCGGCACGGTCATCGACTACAGCCATCTCATAGGCAGTCTACAGGACATAGTGGATTCTGATGTGCAAGCTCTCAAGGGAGTAGGCCCGGTGACTACCAGCTGTCTCAACCGGATAGGTGAGGTTTAGTTGTGTGCATGACACTTGCCAAGCATATCATAGCCCACAAGTATTAGAGGGTGCGGCGTGCCTGTGCATACGATACGCAAAACTGTCCGTTAATACAATCACTTCTGTTTCTGCTCGACCACGCATCGCGTACTGGAGTACAAGTATCTCTCTAACACTCCACGGATGTTGAATCGTTTGCACCCGTATGCTTTACTATTTTTTATACCCCACAAAATCCTTTCGTAAAGTGTCGACAATACAAGAAATGAGATGTATACTTCTCACTGAATGAGTAAAACGTACCATTCCTCTCCCCCTACCCTTATTCAAATGCTAACGCTTCATACGCAACGGCAGGGATTCTGACGATCAGGGACTTAGCACAATACCGGCATAGGCACACGGCCATCGCGTTGATGACGATGGGTGATGCCCAGAATACGTTAAAACACAGCAATGAAGGCACACAAATCCTAAGAGGCTATGCCGCCCACTATTTGGCCGATTGAGGTCTTCCGTCTTGTCGTAACTACGAGCCAGAGGTGTTTGAATCGTCGATGACTGAGAGACGCCCAATACGTGCCACACTCTTACAGATGTGTTCACTCAGTCTCTTGACTGTGAAGCCCATACCCGTATTACGTAGGCTTGGTAAAAGGCCCAAACACATCAGAATAAAACCATTTTATCTAATTTAAACCAGAATTGCTTCGCTGTACGTCCAAATCCGCGCAGTCCTCATAGTTGTAGGGGTTGCAGAACCCTATAGGGAAAGCACTTCCAAGGTCCCCTTTGAATGCAGATGTCAGATATCAGACAACAAGATTGCGCATATTTACCAGTCGGGGTTTAATCGTGCTTTAATACTTCTGGATCTCTAAAATTTATTTAATATATAATATATATAAAATCGACCGGTCACTGTAGTGGAGATCCTTTCCCAAATGACCCGAGTCTCATACAAACAAACACAAACCATATCCTAATTTTCAATCGCAACCATTTCCTAAATTCCAATCGGATAGTGCACATCTACCTATCTTATACACACTACCACCTGCCCCTGTACTTTCTTAGTCCTAACAACCGTTGCCCACCACACCCATCGTCGTTCGTTTCCAATTAATTTTCTGTGTCCGGTGCCAAATTTGAAGACCACCGCCTTGTCTTTATAAAATCACTACGACCGTTCGGTTTAGTCTTCTCAGGTCTATCTACAAATCAGCGATGGGGTCTTGATCGCTCTATGGTACCCTCGCCCTCCACGCATACCGTTTACACAACCAGGCCACGTTCACCTAGTTCACCCGATGCTGTACTGCCTAAGCGAGTGGTCTCTCGCACCTTCTGCATGGCGCTACCCACAGAAGTCATGTACTTGCCTATCACGAGAACACCGTACCACATACTTCCTGCTGCAGAGGTATCGGGACATGCCACAGACTTCAAACTACCCGCCCTGATCCTCTAGAGCACGTGACAGCACTTTGGTGGTCAAAAAGCGCTGGAACGTGTGCGTACGAGAGGACATACAAGCCCACCAGCACAAATACACAGAACTGCACACATGCGCAAGAAGAGATGACAACGCTCTCTAGTTGTTGTGGGCTCAACGCAACAGCCGGCGAAGCTCATCATCGAAGGAATCCCCTTCACCATCCTCACCCTCATCATACGTTCGATCTGCAGAGATTGATAGGCATACACTGGTAAGTTTCATGCCAGATGCAGATTTAACCATAAAACAAATAAACATGTCCATATATATATATATAAGCGAGAAATGAATGATTCTTATACTCACCTGAATCCTGCCAGGCCTGCTTGAGGAAAGCTCTCCTGCCCCCTCGTGACACACGCAAGCGGTTGCCGTCTTTCAACAGAAAGCCATTCATCTCATCAATAGCCACATCCGCTCCATGCTGACTCTTGTACGTCACAAAGAAGTAATGGCGTTCTAAAAATAGACGCATGTTTTCTACTGGGCCATGAGCCCCAAACATCCGGCGGATATCGCTTTCCCGAAGATCGGGTGATACATCTCCAACAAACACGGTGCGCAGACGGTGTTCTTCTTCACTATCAATGCCGCCTTTACCGCCGGAAGAGTGTCTGTGTTCGGGGTGAGCAGATTTGCTTTGTGTGAATAGAGGGTTTCTGGTTCCGCAAAGAGTGCATGTGGTAGCGTACGTGATGTGTACCGCATATGTGTATGAAACAAGTGAGGATGGATGTGTGAGGACAAGACGCTCCGTAGACTGCCGATGCACAGGGAATGACGATATTCAACAACTACACCATAGTATACACTCATACAAGCACACATTCTGTATATGAGATACAGCACTAATAAGCCAAGCACCACCCATGATCAGAACTACCTATTCCCACAACAACCAACGAACCCACAGCTCCAAAGTAGACCACTTACGATTGGCGGTGGCGCCTGCTGCTACTACGCTCCCGGCTGTATTCTCTGCGGTCGCTCCTGTGCTCAGACCGACCTCTGTCACGTGATCGGCGTGCGTACTCATCTCGCTCCCGGTCAAAGTGTGGGGGCGACTCTATCTGGTGTACCTGTCCACGACGGCCCACATCGTCGTGCCGTCTGAAGTCATCCACTCGCTCGTGGAAGAAGGGCTCTGGCTCTCTCTTAAGCACACCGTCGGGCGTATGTGCATGTGCGTGCGAGTGTGGGCGGCCGCGAGGGTGCTCTAGGCTCATACCCCGCCCTTGCTCGGGATAGGGTCCCATAAGGGGACCGCCGACATGCGGCATGTTGGGGTGGGGTCGGCACGCCTGCTGGTGCTGTAACTGTTGTCTGTGGTACATCGAGTCCTGGTGCTGCAGCTGCGTATCGTTCTGCCACCTGTGCGACGGGTGCATGAACGCGGCGCCCATGCGTTCGCGGTCTCCGTCTCGCTCGTCTCTGTACGGCCCGTCCATGCCCATACCTGCACGCTCCCCGTTCTTTCCGTTCTTACGCTCGTGTGGGTGTGTTGAGCCATACATGGGCCCGAACGCCTGCCCTCGGGCATCAGCGGGGCTGAATCGGCCCTCTTCTCTTGGTCCACCTATCGCGAACTTCTCGTCATGTCCGGGCTCACGGCGGAAGGGTTGGGGTGCCTGTTGGTGCGGGGCATAGTGTGGTGGTGGTAGTGGAGATGGCCGGTTGCCATGGTTACTGAAGCGGTCGAATCGGTTGGTGCGGGCAGGTGGGGGTGACGAATGTCGCGTTCTCACCACACTGTTGAACCACGCGATATGATCACTCGACACGGACGTATCTGAGCAATCATTTAAACAGAACGAGGCAAACTTGTGGTTAGTGGAGAGATGAGTGTACGACTAAGAAGCCGAAGATCACATTCCTAAGACGGTTGCTTGAGTGATATCCAGCCGAGATAAGCGAGTGCAGCCTCACAAACGATGCGTGTAAGCCAAGTGAGGGAAAGGTTTGTAACAGAATGTGAATGCCAGCCTGCGGGTATGCAACTGTGTATTTCACAACTTGATTCCTTTTCAACAGAAAACAAAGGTGCTTGGCCCTCACACAGTAGTATGAACACCATCTCAAACAGACACATGGTCGCACAGTGATACAGTGTGACTATAGTATCGATACATACAAACAGTCATCAGAAAGATATACATAAGGGATTGCACCAGCGCAACGCTTACCTCGTCCCACGCGCTTGGGCGATGTTGGCGTAGCATCAGTACACGACACGGCCGCCGGAGAAGCCGTAGCAGCGCGCGAGTTCACTCTCTTCGCATATGGAGAAGAGGCACGCGATGGGGGGCTTCGTTCAGTGTCTGAGCCGCTCTCACTGTAGGATCGCTCTGTACCGCTGGCTGAGCTGATACTCGCACTCGTAGTCACACTCTCACTGGTGTGCGTGCGGACCCTTTTCGGGCTGTCCTCATCCGGGTCACTCTGGACCGTCGTGGCGCTACTAAGGCTGCACAAACTCGCATCCGAAATCGTGCGCTTCTGCGATATTTTTGTGTTTGTTAGAGTAAGAGTCGTCAGTGTTTTCGGAAGCATTGCTTTACGCTTGCAGATCGCTGTGCCCGTCCCGGTAATGGCCCCGATTTTGATGCCCTTTGCGCCTGAATTCCTCTGCAACAGTGAACCAAGGTTGCCCACAGCTGAATCAGACGCCTGTGTATCAGCATCAGCCTCCGAATCAGCGAAAACACTCGCCACACGTGACGAAAACTTCGTTTTCACTGCACCTTTAGTAAGCGGTTTGACACGCTTGGTTGCATCTTCGCCTAGTGCTCCAATTGACGTGGGCTTAGTCTGCCCTGCGGCGGTCGGCAGTACCTGTAAAGGTGTCTGTGACGCTAGTGTAGTGGGGTGTGTGCGTGCGGGTTTCGCATCTTTACTAATTTTGACGACACTCTTAGCGGTGTCACTTGTATGCGTGGGCACACCTCGACCACTCGTAGTATGCTTGCCGGTATCTATGGCTCTAGTATCATCACTTAACAGAGTTCCAGCTGTTCTGACGTCTTCCTTGGGGCTGCTTTTTGATTGTGGGTTGCTAAGCGGCTGCTCAGCTTTTTGAACCAATCGCTTGCTTTCAGCCTCCGTACTCTTGTCAGATACAGCACTTGTCAACGCAACGCCCGAACTCTCCTTCGCATCTGTGGTAGCGGTATCTATCCGAGAGGACACCGTACACGTGACCACGGGTTTCTGTTCCGTTGCACTGCCACCCACAGGCGCATCTCCAGTCAACTGCGTGGCGTCGCTAGACACTTGCGGGGCCTTAGTCGATGCCGTTGTCGAACGATTGGGACACGGAGGCGTTGGTGTGACCGTGGTTATTTTGCGCCGAGTGTAGTTCGCGAGGGAGATCCGCTATAGTGGAGGATATGAAGGAGTTAGTGGCCTAAACAAAAGGTATTAGGATCCAAAGACACCCAAGCTAAGCCCAATGGAACTCAGCGAGGCATATAGCCGCCCAGAGGGGGATCCTCTGCGCTCAAACGAGGATCCAATGCACTCTTAGCTATTCTCAATGACACTCAGTGATATACAGTGACACACAAAAAAAGAGTGAACTGAGCCATAAATAGAATTATGTGCCACACGCAACCGTAGGCCGTCTACATATAAGAGTACAGTCCAGCCCTGCCCACATTCATCAACCACGGGCCGACACTGAACACCGAAACAATAAACCAACGGATGAACATACACACCTTTTTATCGGGCACCGTGGGAGTGTCGGGCTTAGAGGACTTGCTAAGTGTAAGATTTGAGGCACCCTCGCCGCCTTTACTTGCTGGGTCCTTTAAGTCCTTGGACATGCCCTGTTCAATCAACTCGGCCGTGTTGAGTTGTTGTAGTGGTGCAGGTTCAGTGCCTGCTGCGTCGTTGGCAGCCGACTGTACCGTCGTTGTAGCAGTATCGTTTTTAGTTGTAGCATTTACTGTCGAGGGTGCCTCCGCCGTCTCAGGGAACATATTTGCCATTGAAGATATCTTAGTCAACTGTTTAGACTCGTTTGTAACAGCGTCGAACGTTCGTTGTATGGCGACGTCTGCCATACATTCATCAGCCACATTGGTCTCGTCTTTCGCTTCTAATGGCGTCAATTGCATAACCTCGTTGTTTAGCGTCAAAGGCACGTCACTAACTGGATTGCTGGCTAAGCCTGTTGCCGCCTCGACAGTAGTGGGCAATAAAGGAAAATCAGCCAGCGACAGGGTAAGACCCACACTCTCAGTATCCGATAAAGACCCCATCGTGCCTATGGCACCCAGTCCCAGTCCCAGTCCCGGTAATATCCCGGTATTAGCTGTGGCACTCCCAGGCATATCTGGCGTGAACGCTGTGGGCCACACATGCCCGAAGAAGTCCGCAGTCGGGCTCATACCCAAACTCAGGGCCGGTGTGGGGGAGAGCGCAAGTGTGGGGGAAGCTAACGATGTACCAGATATGTCCATAAAGGGCAAGGCATTCAATGTCGGCTCCATCGCGAGGAGGGAGTCCAAATCGGGAATATGGGCGGGCAATTCCCATGAGGCGGGCCCGTCAAACAGCGCATTTGATTGGTTGAAGAGATCGTAGTCGAACTTGCCGTACTGCGCGAAAACATCATCGCCAACCTTCAGCATGTCACTCATTTGGATGTGATCTGTGGCGAATCACACGGCGTTATGGGACTTAGTATGCAGGCATCCTGATATGACACATTTCCTTCATGTTGAACATCGTACCACTCACACGGGTGTCATCAAGATGTGCTTTCGTACAGCTTGTACGACTGTGCATACGCAGCCGTGTGACGTTAAACTGACATTCTAGTGTGCTGCACACACACTCCTATCACAATTGCAACTAACACGGCAGACATCGATGTGGTTGACAGAAAAGTGTTAAGCAATCCAGTCCAGAGATGGGGGAGCTCTCACAGTCATAACTCCACACCATGCAGTATGTGCATCTAATACTACCATTGCTAGCATTTGAAGTGCTTCAACGACACAGCATTGTTTGCCCTGCGAATAAATTCCGATCGGACTACACATTCACATTCACATGTCTCTGTCCCTAATCAACTACGGAAACGAAATCACACGGCATACACGCAATATATATATATATAAATTATTTCATAGTAATTTGTTAAATCGGAATATGCATTGCTTACACACGAATTGTATTCCAAGTTGAAAATACATGTATATATGCATATATATATATATATATGTATATAAATAAGCCTATATACACCAGCAGATAGCATACGTATAGATAAACATATACACACGCACCAAAATATGCATATACATATTTATATACATACACCCCCCCCATATAGATAGAATTTGCTATACATTACAAACTTTGTTATATATATATATATATATGAACTTTTGTAAATGAAACGAGGTTTGGCACATACATTCTAAAGTATAAACCATATGAACGATCGTATAAAAAATATTAGTAGAAATTCATCTACAAGGAGTACAAACGCAGAATCTGTATCTCGGATATACTTATTGCTCAAATGCTTGTATGCCGATATATTGGAAAGTAAAGTTTCAGCATGTTGCAGAAATGTAATATAAATCGGGCATTCATATACATGTAGTATATGTGTACACACCCTCATATATAAATATATACATACATACATACGTACATATATATATATATATATATATATAATTACATGTACATACACATATACCATAAATGTATATATTGTTAATATATAATGTGAGCTCACATAAGTAAATATAAAAAGTAAGTGTATGTACCCTTGTTACCACAGAATACATAACAAACCCCTAACATCGTTCTGGGTGACGGACTCCGCACTTTTCTGCAATCCAAAGAAAGTAAAAAAATCTACGTAGATTTGTATTCTCTTAAGCAGAATTCCAACAAATAGAGCTATGCACGTCCACGTTCATTTGTAACTACTATATATGGCCCCATACAATCGCATATACATTTTCGAAGGCATCATGCATGCGTAGAAAATAAAAAAATACTACAACTATCAGTAATACACACCTGCATCTAAGGCCAGGGAGTTCTGCATATACATATCATTGCTGCTGAGCATCCCAATGCTATTCACAGTCGATAGTATATTGAGGTCTATATTCATATTCTCAACCATATTGATGGGGGTGCATATGCCTGAATCGGGAGGGGATTGTGGGGTTTTGCGCATCGTGATTGAATTCAGACTTGCGTCTGAATCTTCGTTTATCGTTTCCACAGCTTCCATATTTTCTGAAGTTGATATTGTCCCTTACGGGATATTGTGAGATATATGCTATTTTTTTAAAGCGCGAGTGAATACATATATATGTATGTATATATGCTTGAATGTATGTATATGTATATATATATCTACTCGGATACACTCTGCTTTTGCAGATGATGTGCAGTATTGTATGGATGCGAGTACACAATACTTGTGTGTGTGCGTGTATGCATGCGTTACGATTCTCAGCACTGGCTAATGTTAGATATGTGAGCCAATATTAGTTACGCTACGCTTTTCATCACATTGCGTACGACAAAACAAATACCGAATTTTTAAGTTTGTTTCCAAATGCACCCGAGAGCCGAGAGCTCAATGTAGAAGTCATTTGTTTATTTTTGAAAAACATGATGAAGTCGTCCACAACACATGTGCAGAAGCTGGACCAATCCGACGTGCAAAGCTAAATCTATATTAAGTTATGATTGGTGTAATGTCTCTGCTAAAGTCTGTTCTATTTTTGGGTATCAGCAACAATAATGTGTTTTCCCCAGAGTCCAGACCACTCCAGAGTCCAGAGTCCCAGTCTCAAAGACCCCACCAGTTATTACTTATTTACCAGTTCGTAGTACGTTAAATGCCGGTTTTTTCTAAAAACAGTAAATAAAATCAATATTTTTGTCTAAATTAGATATTTCTATATACATATAAATAGCCGTACTCTTCATTCATCAAGTCATCGTGCGTGTTTAATTTTCAAAAAAGAATGAAGTAATCCAATTAGTCGTATGGCCCGTTTGATTCGCAACAGAAGTGGGAATTTTAAAAAGTAGTCAACAGAGCCACATGCCCAGCTGGCCCACAGCCCTGTTGCCAACTCGGTCGATATTAGCGGAAGCCGGAAGGCTTATCTGTTTTATCAGCGTATATGAGATGCTCACAGGTTAATTTTATGCGCGCGGGGAGGAGCGGGGGGCGGGAAATGATTATTCAATAAAAAGGGTGCGGTAGTTTCGTCATGAATACAGATATATATAAAACGATACGTACGCTATTGCTTTGTCTGTTTTGTGAAGTATCACTGGTAGTGGATGTGGACAGGATCTCTCTAGAGGGTAGAATACCGTGCCAAATGGGGAGATATCGATCATGAATCCGAGTTTTATCCTGGTGCAACTTGAGGTTTCACCCGTGGGACCTACTCGGTACTACAGTAGCTAATGTCGTCAATAAATGGAATTATGATGTGCACGTCATTTGTTAATTATCAACTACATGAAGGGACTTGTGGTCATGGATCGGATACCGGTCGTCTATCATCTGCCGCAATTATAACGGCATGTTCGTTTTCCGGGTACTACAGTTATGCTGTTAATTTTAGTAGGTTACTTTTGTTATTTGTTAATCAGTATATGATGTGTCTGGCAATTCACACCACGTAGCAGATCCGTGCAATTCGAAGCAAAAACAATTTGAAGTTGCCTACTATGAAACAACAGGCATGCAAATTGAAATAACTCTCGTCTATCGATCCGGACAGAGGATGGCGGCTTTCTACTTTATTTTTATTTTTGTACTCAAATAACTCCTTTTTTTTGACAATAAATATCCGTGCACGTGTTCCTGTTAAATCATAATTTCAAAAAAAAAAACGTACATATGTACATTTACAATATACATAAGTAAATACAGATGCACAACTGTACATTAAAAATTATAAACATTACACAACCTTCAGCAGCCTCCACTGGTCAGTTGTCAAAGTCACTCGAAAGTATTACACATAGCAATCGTCGCAACATGGTGGCCAAACGCAGATTTAGCGATGATGACGGCGCTTCCGCAAGTATCGCCAAGCCACTTACCGATTCAGACATGGCTGAGAGTGGTATGATAATTTAAAGACTAATGCATTTGTTTACAATACAATGTTTACAATAACAAAGGATACGATTCGGAAAAAAACATACGCATTATATATATATATATATAAATAGTCTCTGTTACCGTTTATCTATGTTATGGTGGTCTTGATATATATATATATATATATATATATATATATATATATATATATATATATATATATATACTACATTATATATATATATATATATATATATATATATATATATATATATATATATATATATATATATATATATATATATATATATATATATATATATATATATATATATATATATATATATATATATGTGTGTGTGTGTAAATATAAATATACATATATATATATATATATATATACGATGTGCGTTCTCATGTTACTTATTTTTAATTTATGAGTATTTGGTTTTCCTGGAAATTATATCGCCCGCTGCCGGACTAAGCCTCGATCGGCAGCACGAAGCGTATTTCCTACAGCAAAGTGGCATTGGAACAACTTATTGGCCTAACATTGGCGTTACTAGGCTACACCTTTGTCTACAATTTATATTTCATATAGTCGTGATATGGATGATTTGTGTACCAGAGATTTTGAATGTTGCATTGAAAGTGAACTTGATATAGGCAGCAGCTTTGGGTTAGGTATCTATCTGCCCAAGAGGTTTTCGATCGGATAGCCTGTCCACGAGTTTGGTGACATGGTGCAAATCACACATGCAAAAGTCCATCAGTGACTGCCTTGTATATATATATATATTGATTATCGTGCTATATATAGTCTGCTTATGTAGTTGTATGCGGCTCCACATATACGTGCTTCTTTTTGTTGTATGCCATTAGCACGTTTGTAATCGGTATGGTTGTCTGCTTAAAACTGAGAACGGCACCTGTGTATCATCACTATTCCGCACTCATGTTATATCAATACAGACAACTAAAATCGCATGTACACTTGCACATCATTCACACACATGTTACAGATCCCACTAGTGTCAAACGGCAGAAAAAGAAGCAAGATGCTACCGATACTAATAACGGAGCCAGCGGCAAGGCCAAGGCTCCATTGACTGATGCCATGCGCGCTAAGATCAAAGCAAATCCCGGACAGAAAGAGAGAGGCTTGAGGAAAAAGGCTCTGAAAAAGGTGGTGTATGTCAACCAGACGGCTGTATCTATACTCGGGGTGTGTCGTTTGTGGCATATTTCACAGATCGTATACCGGAGCATCGTACCAATCTGCTTGTCACCTTGTGATTGTGGTTGTATACACAGTACTGGTATCGCCCCTTGAACTTATCACGACCCTATCTTGGTGCCTTTAACCAACAGAGCACCGTCGAGTTGGAGCTAAAGGTAGATGAGTACTACAAGAAATCCGGGTTCGATCGCATGACCCTGCGACACTCACAGGCTGCGCTACTGTGGTGTGTCAGCGATGGCCGAAATCCCAACGAATGGCTCTTCTTGAAGGTGTGCTATTTTTAGAATCCAGCTATTCTAACCGCTGGCGGATCTATTGTTTTCTTACCTAAGATTCCCATGCGTGATAACTTGACACGGAAGTGTTTGTGCTGTATTGCCAGTGCCACACCCACGTGTCCGTTTTAATTCCCTCGTGAACGCAGCCTACCCCCCCTATCGCGTTTCGGCCCATGACGATTCCATAATTTTGACAAGCATATGTCTGAAGATCTGGATGTTAGATAAAATCTATCCGAGGCTTTACATAGGCTTTAGCCTTGTATAAAAAGTTGTATATAACCGCATATTGGCGATACTGCTACAACTGGTTCTTATATACATTGTCTTTACCCTTCTCTTGCTCTCGCAGAACATGTCGCTGATCAATAAGTACATGACCATAGTCATTGATGGACTCACTGTGGACCTCTACACAAAATACGGCACAAACTGCCCCAATCTGGTGAACCTCAACCTGATGATGGGACTGCTGTTCCCACCCTCTTCGCAAACAAACCAGAGACCGATAAATCACAAGAACAAGAGTAAGGTATTTAACAAAGCAAGTGCTGTTACCAACACCACAGGGGAGAGTACAAATGTAGCACAACCTGATAGTAGCTCAGTAAAGGAGGAGATCAGCTCAAGCACAGCAGAAACCCATACAGCCACCGAGGACGCCAGCACAAGCGCCACAGAGACTACCAGCACCACAACCACAACCACGACCACAGCTGCAACCGTATCGAATAACAAAGTAGCCAGGATATCGAAGGAGAAGGCGATAATGGAGGACTATGCATCGGAGGTGCTCAACAGCTACTTCTACGCAGGCATTCCGGCGATGCGACGCAAGAAGCTCGAAGCTGAGAAGAAGTTTTTAGAAGACAAAGCGGTATGTATAGGGGAGATGAGTCAATGTTATTTTTGTTTATGTATACATGTCTATATATACACACGCACATACACACACACACACACACACACACACACACACACACACATATATATATATATATATATATGTATATGTACACGCTCACTCACTCACGCACGCACGCATATATATATATAAATATATATATATATATATATGTATATATATATATACTACTATACACACACGACACACACACACACATATATATATACT